CAAAGGGTTCAGTTCTTGCACCAGTGATGTTTATTGTGTACATAAATGATCTACCAGTTGGTATACAGAATTATATGAACATGTTTGCTGATGATGCTAAGATAATAGGAAGGATAAGAAATTTAGATGACTGTCATGCCCTTCAAAAAGACCTGGACAAAATAAGTATATGGAGCACCACTTGGCAAATGGAATTTAATGTTAATAAATGTCATGTTATGGAATGTGGAATAGGAGAACATAGACCCCACACAACCTATATATTATGTGAGAAATCTTTAAAGAATTCTGATAAAGAAAGAGATCTAGGAGTGGTTCTAGATAGAAAACTATCACCTGAGGACCACATAAAGAATATTGTGCAAGGAGCCTATGCTATGCTTTCTAACTTCAGAATTGCATTTAAATACATGGATGGCGATATACTAAAGAAATTGTTCATGACTTTTGTTAGGCCAAAGCTAGAATATGCAGCTGTTGTGTGGTGCCCATATCTTAAGAAGCACATCAACAAACTGGAAAAGGTGCAAAGACATGCTACTAAGTGGCTCCCAGAACTGAAGGGCAAGAGCTACGAGGAGAGGTTAGAAGCATTAAATATGCCAAAACTAGAAGACAGAAGAAAAAGAGGTGATATGATCACTACATACAAAATAGTAACAGGAATTGACAAAATCGACAGGGAAGACTTCCTGAGACCTGGAACTTCAAGAACAAGAGGTCATAGATTTAAACTAGCTAAACACAGATGCCGAAGAAATATAAGAAAATTCACCTTCGCAAATAGAGTGGTAGACGGTTGGAACAAGTTAAGTGAGAAGGTGGTGGAGGCCAAGACCGTCAGTAGTTTCAAAGCGTTATATGACAAAGAGTGCTGGGAAGACGGGACACCACGAGCGTAGCTCTCATCCTGTAACTACACTTAGGTAATTACACTTAGGTAATTACAAATCTGTCCAAACCCTGGCTTTCTCACAAATAATGGCGTCCGAAACACTATCACCCCTTAACTCCTTGTCGTGTATCCAAATTAATAACAACTTTTCCACTTCTTCAAGTATTTGTGGTCTTTGTTTCATTATTGTTCTGACTCCTTTTGCCACTTTAGCACTCATAATCTCATTTTTCTTCTTAAGTATAGTGCATATTGTTGATGTGGCTTTGTTGTACTGCCTACAAAGTTCAACAACACGTGTACCGTTCTCATGCTTCCGAATGATCTCTTGTTTCTCCTGTATTGTCATCCTCACATGGGCTTTCTGGCCTTTATCCTTACCACTAGCTTTCTTGGGACCCATGGTGAGAAATATAATAACAAATTGTATAGTCAAATCACCAAAAATCCAACAAAACACTGAAAATCCACGAGAAGAATTGATGTGGGGTAGTCACTGGGCGCGAGACAATGGTAAACTGAGGGGCAGAGGGGCGACGTTCGCCGAACCACCATGCGCTGGGTCGGCCTGTATGCGTATCAACAAACTCGCGTTCCGAGACATATTTTCCGAGGAAATCCTGCTCGTATTCCGAAAAACTCACATACAGGGACACTCGCATTCCGAGGTACCACTGTATTTACATGTTTTGTTCACCATAACTGTACATCTAAGCTTGTATGGTGAGTAAAGGCACAAAGATGTAGCTACACACACTGTCAGCTGGTGGCGGCCGACCTCAAGACCCGACGCACTAATATTTTCCTCCAACAATACTGTTTGTGGTGTTATTACGTTATATACACATATTATATATTAGTATCTACCTATTTTATTCATCATACCTGTACAAATAAGCTGGTATGGTGCCCAAAAACCATAGTGGCCACCAGTAAACAACATGATAAGTTGTGTAGACGATGCACCTCCCTCACCAAAATGGCGGCTCCCAACCTACTCCTCTTGCTGTTATTACACTCTCTACACACACGTTATATATAATTATCTACAGTTATGTTCACCATAGCGAACCACTAAGTTGGTATGGTGAGTGCAGTCAATAAAAGGTGGCCACAGACCGTCAGAAGATGACGCCACCACCCTCCCTCCCACAACATTACTCATCCCTTCATGGAGCACAGCACTAAATATCACCACAATCCTGCTATTATCAGAGTACTGGTCTGTTTTATCACAATCAAGGGTCTTCTGTAATACTATCATCGTTAAATAATAGCATGAACATATATATTATGGCATTTGTAGGCGATGCTGTGGTCACAAGCTGAACAGCGGTGCTGTGAGCTCGTGCTGCGTGCATCAGCCTTGGTGGCTCGCTCAGTACTGAAGCTCTCACACCCAAGAATGTTGGCCTGGATTTTTTTTCTAGGTGGCATCTGGCAACTATCGGTCGTGGCTGCACTATAGCTGCCCCTATCCCAGGCGTGGCGTTTAAATTATAGCGCTAGACACGAAATCATATATATATGACATGCGCAGTTTTGTCACTGAAAGCATATATATATGATTTGCGCGGTTTAAGGGTTAACAAGCCGCCGGCATTCTGTGCTCATCAAGGCCACTAGATAGTTAGTGGCCCTTGGGTAAATCCAGTAAATATATACAATAATTGTCAGCGCATCTTCCGAGCAACAAGGACTGCTACATAGTATCTCTTAGAATTACGCAGGTAAACAACAAATGTAGCGTATTTGTTTACTACAATGTCGGTACTGGCTGTAGAAGTTGAAAAAACATAGTTTTACTTCGAAATATACTAATTTTATAAGAAAATTCAACGTAAATAGGAGGCAGTAGAGCTCCAATAAGCCAGTGCTAAATCTTCAATATGAAGAATGTTGCCTGCTCTCTGATTGGCCAAACGAAACACAGTAGTGACCTCTATCAGCACGCAGGTGAACCAGACCCAAAACCCAAATATCTTCCTAAGTGGATCTACCTGAATTGCACCTAAGCATCTTCTTAGGGCATACTTAGGAACCTTCGTAGCAAACCTACTTACGAAGAAATACATGGAGCTTCGTGAATTTAGGTCCTGTTCTTTTGATTAATGGTGGGTCATTCTTTTGTGTTTTTTATGTATGGTACTAGAAATTCCCCTGTGTTCTCCTCCATTCTATGGATATTAGAGTTGCCTTTGAATCCTCAATCAGTAAACTAAAAATTACATTATTAATTCTCAAGCATTCTTTACCAAGTTCCTTATACCCCTTGGTGTTCATGATTATTGACTTCTACCCTCCCAAGGTCAATAAAAGACACATTCAGATTTAAACCAGGGAGGTGGTGGCAGTGTTTAATGAGTTTTTATTTATTAGTTTTAAAATAATAATACCTTCTCTTGTTGTTCCCCCTCAGTTAATATTTCATAGTTAATAATTTAGCTGTAGTTCATTGGGGGTCACACTGATCTGCAAGCAGTGTTAACCTGGGGTGTTGAGTGAGTAAAGGGTGTAAAGCAAATGGGGTTATTACAACCCCACTGAAGGCCACGAGAAAAGACCCGAAAAGCCCACGAATCATGGGACCAGGTGTGAGCGAACAGAGCAAGCCTCCCCCAACTGCCCCGTCAATGGGGCGAACCGCGAAAAGGGCTGATGCCCTTTACGAGAACCCTGCCTGCGCACAGTGCGAGCACCGCGCCGACTAGACACAGCTGGGACCAAAGGCTGCACCGGTTCTGAAACTGGCACCTGTGGCCCACCTCAACGGCTGGAAACCCACGGACCATAGCACGACCCCTCCTAGGGGTCCAGGTGGGTTCCGGGAGGAACCCACCCTGGACTCTCGGATAACCAAAAGGTCAGACATCGGGCAGCAGCTGGAAGAAGCCGCCTGCATATATTGTTCGATCGCAGAAGCAGCAAACAGCAAAGGACAAAAAGGTGAAGACAATCTAAGAGCCAGAGTCTAAGCGGATTCCAAGAAGGAAGCGAGCACCACCTGCCGACACGCGAGGCATGCAGCAAAAACCGCAACAGCGCATCCCGCAGGATCAGCGCAAACAGCTTCAAAAGGGAAGATGACGCACGAGCAGCCAAGGCCAAGGCGCTAGACCCAGGAATGGCCCCAAGCACCTCTACATCCTCCATAAGCCAATCCAAAGACAGATCAAGGAGGGAAAAGAAGCGCAGGACCGAAGGCAACGAGCCTCGTGCGCGCAAGTCCTCAGCCACAAGCACTGACGAAGAGGAGGGAACCTACACGTGATGCTGAACCACACCAACATCCCACAGAAGAGCCGGAGCGAAAAACACTCATTAAGGTGCGCAAAGTCGCCTCCCCCCCCCCCACCAGGTAAACCTGGACCACAGTCAACGCCTCGTGCCACTCCAGCGTGCAGGTACAACAGAAGGTGTCCCAAGCATCCAACGAAAACAAAGGGCAGTCCGCTAGCCAGGACGAGTCCGGAACCTCATAACGAACCCAGTATGGAGACGAAGACTCAAACCTGAAGAAAGACGGATTCATTATAGAAGCATAATCCGGGTCGCGCAGGAGGTAAGCTGCAATGACCACCCACACCTCAGGCGGAGAGATGCGGGAAGCGGAAAAGCTTCGGAAGGACAGAACCGACGGACCCGAAACGGAACTGAACCCGTGGAGGAGCTGAACCCAAATCCAAGTCGTAGGCAGAGGGGGGAAAAGAAAACCCCACTCCTGTAACAGCAAGCCCCACTCGGAGGGTCGGAAAACCCAGGCGGGGTGCAACGGGGCCCAAGGCCCCAAGTCAGCTACTCCCCAACCCTGGGAATTGCCACATCAGGCCCCGGGGCCGAGTCGTCCTCCAACACCCCGGCCTCACAAGAAAAAGCCGGGGCAGCTGGAATAGCAGGAAGAGGATGGGCCCACTGGCAGTTTTTAAAAATTTGAAAGAGTTTCAGAAAATTTAAAAAACTGAGCTCAATGTCACACTTCATATGACTTTTATGCAGTTTAGGGGTTAAAACTGTAGAAAATATTTATCAAATATACTATATCTGGTGTAACAACTCAATATATAAAATTTAAACCAATAACACCAATTACCTAAGCAACTCTCACCTTGAAAAAGTCATCAACTTGAATGACATGACTGAGATCAGGAGGTGGCTGCTTTCTTTTAAAATACTTGAATTCATGTGTAAATCTGTCTTCTTCACAGTCAGCTCCACTTCCTTCCATCTTAACTGGTTCTTACTTGGGATAGTGCCTCTTTAATGCAAGAAATATTCTCATTAAAATAGAACAGAAACAATATAGTAATATAAATAAACAGCTCATCCTCCTGCTTACATAGTAATGAGATGGACTTATAGTAATGAGATGGACCATAGTACTGTACATATATTGACCTAATGAACAATTAGACAGTAGAAATTGATACTATTGAATTTGAAGAAACCAGAAAAGGTTTAGTATTTATGTTGCTAATAAAACCTAACTTAAGGGGCCAGTAACTAGAGCACTTTTGTCAAAAATCAAAATATTCTAAAAAATTTTAACAAAATATCACGGCATTTGGCATCAGAGTTGTGGCAAGTTCATCCCAATACATTAATAAAAAGATTTTCAACAAATTTTTATACAAATAAATCAGGGCGTGGCATGCCATGCGCCATACATGGGCAGTGAGTGCTCAGGATCATTGCGGTCTTGCATGATTTCATTACATCAATAGAATTTATTGCTAACAGATCGGACAAATATGCACATATATAATAGTACATTTATGGATTAGCAATGTGTGTATACACATGAGAGAGAGAGAGAGAGAGAGAGAGAGAGAGAGAGAGAGAGAGAGAGAGAGAGAGAGAATGAGAGAGAATGAGTGAGAATATGAGTGTGTGTGTGAGAGTGTTAGAGAGAGTAAGAGTGTGAGAGAGAGTAAGTGTGTGAGAGAGGGAGAGGGAGAGTGGGAGGGGCAGAGTTGACCGTGGAAAGCACCTTTAGTTACTGAGTGTCTCTGATGGAGATAGGAGGGGCGATGCTGTTTGATCGTTTGGTAATCCCGATGGCTTTCCTTTAGAGGAATGCTAAATGCAAGAGAGAAAGTATGTTGAATGAATTCATATACAAAACAGGAGAAAACCAAGGATGCATGTACAGTACAACCTCGATTCAACGTACCCCCGATTCAACCAATCTCCGGCTAGTTCGCACACTTTTCAGGCCGGATTTACTTACCCGGTTCGACGAACAATGATTCGCCGAAGTGGGGGATGTTCGGATTTGCTTACGACGTCGAGACAGAGTTCACAAACTGGTGGAAAACTTTCCCATTCTATCACAGATTACAATTATTAATTCCTTCATATGACAAGTTGGATCACACAAGTGGACCACAAAAGTGGACCACACAAGTGGTCCACAAGTGGTCCACAAGCTTACGATGTTGGGACAGAGTTCACAGAGTGGTGGAAAACTTTACCATACCATCACAGATTACAATTAATAATTCCTTCATATGACAAGTTGGATCACACAACAAGTGAACCATATGAACCAAACACCAGCCAGAATGGTCCACACAAGAAGTGACGCATATTAACCAAACACCAGCCAGAGTGGTCCACACAAGTGAACGACGGAGTTTCAATGATTTTCGTTCACCAAATTGTGGCACACGTACCTTTGTAAATTAATTTAAAGGCTGAAGCGTGAATAGCTAGCTAATGTGTTGAAATCTTCTGATATACATTTTCTGCAATGAAACAAGACGAGTGAGGGTGGACAGATAAGGGAATACTGTACAGTAAACCTCACTGTACAGTGAGGTTTCACTCACTTTCGTCTGTGTTGTCATAGTTCAGTAACCCATGACTTTGAATGTTTCACATTAAATCATTTCTAAAACTGGTGTTTTAATAACTTTATTATTCTAATTAAACTAAACTAAATAAAACCAAAAATATACTGTAATATGATAGATATCTGCTATTTGAGAAATTATTCACGTTATTGGCGGCACAACTCCAACACGAGTGGACGGGTCTAATCCGTGAAACACACAACACCATGCTTGTTTTGTTCGATTTCGTCGCAACAGTTCAGTGATCTACGGCTTCGAAATAATAAAATTAATAAATCAGTTCCAAAATAAGTATTTTTTATAGCTCTTATTACTGTAATAATGTTGCTAAACTAAACATGTAACCTAAAAATATATAATTTGATGTAAATCGAATATTTGAGAGAAATTTATGTTACTGGAAATCGAACACAACACCAGGTGTGATTTGTTCGATTTCATCGCCACAGTTCAGTGACCTACGGCTTCGAAATAATAAAATTAATAAATCAGTTCCAAAATAAGCATTTTTTATAGCTCTTATTAACGTAATAATGTTGCTAAACTAAATATATAACCCAAAAATATATAATTTGATGTAAATCGAATATTTAAGAGAGGTTTGTTACTGGATCTGGCGTAAACACCAGCCTACTGAAGGGTGTATGTATAGACTAGTCTGCGTTCGTACAGTATGCACCCTTAGCTTTGTCTGCGATTGACGTACAGTATTTATCCACCTGTGGAAGAATAATTGTGGAACTGACCAGTTTTTTACTACAGCTCTTTGGTTATAAAGCAAAATGTCTCAGGGCTTACTAATAGTGCCTTATTAATGCCAAAAATGAAGCAATATTTTGCAAGAACTAGTAGCAGAAAATCAACCAGCCCTACCACAGCCGTACCCAGCACGAGAACAGCTGTACCCAACACAAGAACAGCTGTACCAAGCACGAGAACAGCCGTACCCAGCACGAGAACAGCCGTACCCAACACAAGAACAGCCGTACCAAGCACGAGAACAGCCGTACCAAGCACGAGAACAGCCGTACCAAGCGCGAGAACAGCCGTACCAAGCACGAGAACAGCCGAACCCAGCACGAGAACAGCCGTACCCAGCTCGAGAACAGTCGTACTCAGCAAGAGAACAGCCGGACCAAGTACGAGAACAGCCGTACCAAGCACGAGAACAGCCGAACCCAGCACGAGAACAGCCGTACCCAGCACGAGAACAGCCGAACCCAGCACGAGAACAGCCGTACCCAGCACGAGAACAGCCATACACAGCACGAGAACATCCGTACCCAGTACAAGAACAGCCGTACCCAGCACGAGCACAGTTGCACCCAGCACTGGTACAACAGCAGCCAGCACCAGCTCAGAAGCAGCTGAACCCACAGCAGCAGCGAGCACCAGCAAAGCTGATGCAAACATCTAAAAACATCGTGTGCGGCGTGAACAGTTAGAACAAGTGTTAAATTTAAGTGTGTACACAGTGTTAAAATTAAAGTTGCAGTAATTTTAGTGTACAATAGTTTTCATAAACTGTATTGTAGTACTCAACATACAGCAGAACTACTTTTAATCAACACAGTGCTAACGGCATAATGCACTACAGCACGTATTTACTGTAGAGCATTCACAACTTCACAAAACGTCGAGATGGACATAGCTCCAACAATAAAGTAAATATTATGAATTACAGTATTTTTTAGTAGAGAAGTAATATATAGGTACAGTATGTAATATGATAATGCATTTTTATGGTGTACAAGAAAAAAAAATGACACTGACACAAACGCCTCCTGAAGGTCACCTCTTGCAACGAATCCAACGCTCCAACAAACTGGGGTTGGTCCCATATAGTACGTTGAATCGAGGTTGTACTGTAATATGTGATAGCGCGAGTGAGTGAGTGGAGAGGGAGGCGCGTCCCCTCACCTCTCGCGTAGTGTCACAAACAGTGCCTAGCAATGCCAGCCATTATCACACATGTATAGGCAATATAGTTCCTGAAATATTCATAATGTTTACTCCTCACACAATTACTGCAATTAATGTTTGCTTAAGAGTGCCATTTATCAGAACACAGGTAAATACTCTATACAAGTGCTAATAAAGTCCATGGATATCACCTCTTACCTGTGGAATGGTGTACATATTCAAAATAATAATTATGTGAATATTTACAGTAAATGTATGAAAATATATATATATATATATATTTTAATTTCAAAAGATATTGTCCTACAAATTTAACCCTTAACACCGTGCTGCGCCGAGTTTATTGTGAAATTTCCCCGGTGCGCATGAAATAAACTGTTCCCCAAAAATTATTTTTTCTTCGTAAAATGATAAATTCCCTTCCAAGAACATATCTATGTAAAAATAAATACCAAATTCCACTTACTTTGGCTGTGGGGACGTGGATAAGGTGCCTGTGACATCATCAGGGCCTGGTCGCCCGTGCATGACTCGCCCAGACACGGTCGCGCGGGCCATTCAAGCACCGGGTGTTGCCACATGTATATTTTCAATTATTTGTTTTATGTACAGGTATTTCCAATGTGGTTTTATTTGTTTTTGTTTTATCGTATATGATGCATATTTGTGTCCTTTACAATATGTATACAGCAGAATGTTCATAATGTACCCTGGAACTGTGATACATGTGTCAGTAATGTGTCCACAATAAATGTTTATTGTCGCAATATTACCTGTTAAAAATTCACTAAAATTACAATATGTACAGTTTCACACACTATTTACACAGTAACACACTGTGTACTTCGGAAGTGAGTAATAATCAAGAAATAGCCCATGGTACACAGTGCAACTTTGCTCTCAATGCACCAGGTACAGATAAATTTTCGCTTCCTGTTTCTTCATTCTGTGTGCTTGCAAATAACGCACTCACGTACACCCTTGGCTTTAGAATTTGTAGGTTGTATGTAGCCAAGCTTGTAAAGCATAAAGTAGTATTGAAAAGATTATAGGAAAAGATCAATTTGTAAGGTAGTCTTGAAAAGATCACTTTGTATGATCCCACACAGGAAGAGATTCAGCTTGCCTCAAAGAGTGTCCGTCAGTCAGAAAGAGATTCAGCTAGCCTCAAAGAGTGTCCGTCAGGAAGAGATTCAGGTATTCTTGAAAATATCTATGGAAAACACCACCGCTAACACTGTTCATCTATGCTATTTGTATCAGATGCATCATCACTAAACGCAGAAAACGATTCATCTATGAATCATCTAAATAAATTGGAGATAGCATAGGATTGCAAGAGTGACGCTCAGAGCTACAACTGGATACGCTCGCTGTATCGTCCTCATAGGTGCTGTATCACTTGCATCCGACCTTTGTATTAGGTCCTTATTGCGCCTAGCTTCATTAATATTATGACCCTTATGTTTTTCAAACAATA